TTTAAAATGTAAAATAAAATAAAAGAACGTTTCAACTAGCAACACTGGTATCAATGGGAAACAAATGTGAATTCTTGGCCTCCAGCCTAAAAGAAAGTCAAGATCTGTGCTGGTAATAGCATTCAGGTAGAGAGTATGCACATTAACATTTGAGATTAAAGTCCAGAAGCCTGCTTTTGACATTAGCAAGAATCAAAGTAGACATTCAAATGTTATCAGAATTATTTGTGAAAATGTTTTCTTTCAAGTTTGAATTTTACATTTTAAAAGATGGAAATGTCAGAATTTTATCAAAATGTATTTTCTCACTCATTTTCTTTTGTGTAAAAAATATGATCATCAAGGTATTTGTGAAGTGCGTTTAAAATTTAAGCTCAGTTAACTGTGAAGCGTTTATCCTAATATTCATGTGTTAAAACTTGTTTAAAGGGTTGACTGGCTTTGGGAGCTTGCTTTCAATTTGCAATCATAGTTTCTCAGGTTTGGTTGAATGGTACACTTTTTTCCACAACATTATTATTAGTAAATGTGAGCACAGTGAATTGAGATTGTTTTAAAATTTTAACTAAATCCACAATACTCTCTTTCTTGAGCAAGGTGCTAGCTCCATGGGTATGTTCAGTTTGTGAGAATGAATTGAGCCATGAGTTTATCCAATTTGATATAAAAGTTTCAATTATAATTGTTTCTCAATCCAATAAACACTTTTATTTAATGAGTAAAAAAATGACCTTGGACTGGTTATCTCACTTTCTCGTAGCCTCAGCTTCTCTAAAGAGATAGAGATAAACATACTTCCCCAGCAGGAAAAGGATATAGTGAATTCATGAGAAACTCTGCCAACTTTGAGCTGGACTTTTAGAAAAATATTTTATTTACTACTTTTATTTTATTTGTTTGAGTGTTGCCTACATGTATGTAAGTGCACCTGTGTTATGCAATCCCCATGGAGGTTAGAAGAGGGAGTTGGATCCCTGGGAATCAGAGTTATGGATGGTTGTTAGCCACCATATGGTGGTGCTGGGAATTGAACCCTGGCCCTCTGCATGAACAGTCAGTACTCTTAACTACTGACATATCTCTCCAGCCTCTGAGCCAGTCTTTTGTTCTAGAAAATGTTAGCTATTGTGATGGCCATCATCTATGGCTCCAGGTTACAGTAGTGGGTGTTGATACTGCAATGTTGGGCTGGATACACTTTGTTAACAGCAAAGACTGAAAGCTGAACAATTTCCATCCTACATGGGGCACAACCCTTTAGGCCACTCCAGTGAGAGGCTGAGCAGTGAGCAGCCCTTTGTCACTTAGTGAAAGCCAACTAACAGAGGCAGGGACTAACCTCACATTCCCGCACCTCATTATTCTGGGCTGTTTAGGTCACCTGTGACTTCACTTTTCCCCATACATCACCATCCCCACGGTCCTCTGCCAATAAAATCATTTGTGTTTATACCCGTGAAGCAGAAAGTAACATACCACAAATCTGAAATTGGACACAGATTGAGTTCCAAAGGTGCATTCAGCCCATGAGCTCATAAAACCAAGCTCTGGGGCTGGGGTGGTAGTAAGTCCAGAAAGACTGGCCCTGTTTTTCTTGTTGAAACAGCAATATTTACATAGATAATATCCCCAAGTAGATGTTATTTTTTCCCTTTAGATAAAAATTATGTTCTATGGTTTCTGGGCTGCAGAGAACTGTGGCCATAGGCTTCTTTGTTCACTTTAAAAAACTAACATAAAAATAGTGCATGCCAGTAGGCAGCATTGATGATTGGCTGTGTGTGTGCAATGTGTGATGACTACAATGACCACATAAATTAACCCATCCATCATCACTCAACAGTACATTAGATCCCAGACTCCACATATCTTCTTCACACCCTTTGATAACAGTGCCTTTTTTTTCCATCCTACCAACCCCTTGAGCTGCTGGAAACACAATTCTACCCTCAACTTGTAGGAATTCTCCTTTTTGAGATTTTTTATATATACATGAGACCATTATGGTATTTGTATTTGTGTGTGTGTGTGTCTGGTTTATTCCATTAGCATAAAGCCCTCCTGGTTCATCCACATTTTTCACAAATGGTGGCTTTTTATTTTATAAATGAATAATAGTCTGCTGTGTTCATATAATACATTATACATGAGACGTATTTGTATTTGTGTGTGTGTGTGTCTGGTTTATTCCATTAGCATAAAGCCCTCCTGGTTCATCCACATTTTTCACAAATGGTGGCTTTTTATTTTATAAATGAATAATAGTCTGCTGTCTGCTGTGT